TATATATGTGTATATATATATATATATATATGTGTGTATATATATGTGTATATACATACATACATATATATATACACATATATATATATATATATATTTTGTAACGATGTAAAAACTTTTACTGTCACTTTTGATCAGTTTAGTGTATCCCTGATGAATAAAAACATACTTTTCTTTTTTTTTTTTTTTTAAATCTTAAGCGATAAAGCTAGTATAAAGATACTAGTATAAATCAAACTATATCACGCCAAGAATTAAGAGGTAGAAGTGGGGGGGATCACAATACCAACATTTTAGTTGTCAATATACCAATACAAGTTAAATAATACAGATGTCTACAAGTTAAAAGAAAACAATGGCATGGAATTTTGCTTCAAAATAATATTCAAGTAATAAAGAACAAAGAAATGTCTAATTTTTTTCTTATAATGTCTAATAACTTTCTTTTACAAATAATGTTCAATTACTGTAAAAACAGTTTAGTTATTATTAACATTATTAAGATTAATATTGCTGTACAATTACCAGTATGATTGTATTTTTTTCTTAGTATCAGCTTTGATAAGAAGGACAGCTAGTGTCCAATAGATAGACAATCTAATGTCAAAAAACAAGTGAAGCTACCAGGACCCTCACCGCATAATTTTGCCATTACATAGCACCAGGCGCAGGGCGTTGTCATGACTACCCTCAACAGCTACTGCAGACACCGAAGACACTTTCTTGAACTTGCCATTCACTTTGGAGCTGAAGGCTGGGTCCTGTTACAAGAGACGAGAGGTGCTTATATGGGAAATGAATCATAATAATAATAATAATAATAATTGCATGCTGCTAAAGCAGTGAACATATCTAATATCAGGGTGAAAATGTCCTCTACAATCAATTGATAGCATTGCATTACAGTCATATGATAAGGAATGATAAAGCCTAATAACGATATGGAGAACCAACAAGAAACTTGAGCTTAATGCTACAGTGCATTATGGGAGGGGGGGGGGCACACTCACCTCCTCAAGAGGCCCGACCTCCAGTCTCTTTAATACCTCCAGTGTGTGAAGCTCCAAGACATCCAAGTTAGAGGGCAGTCTTTGGCTGTGATGATGATGGTCTCGTAGCCGCCGAGCGGCCCGCTGTACCTGATATCCTTTCTCCAGTGATGAGTGTGTTAAAGGCCACTCAGCACTTCCCTGAGATTTTTCAGCTTTATTCGATTCATCCTGTTTAAGAAAACACAGCAAATCAATTAAACTTCTTGGAGGAGCTGCTTTTCCATAAAACATTGTATTCTTAAAAACATTTTAAGAATATTAAATATATTTTACATTTTATAAAGGGAGGTGTTGCGGGGTAGATCTTATAATCGGATACTTCGATCTATTTATTTATTTTTCTGCACAAATTGCAGCAAATAAATACTGCCAGGTGTATGTTGACATCCCTGTGTGTTTTGGTACAAGATCTTGCACAGTTAAGTTATTGTGAGTTTATTTATTATTATTAATTTTTTTGGTTCAGCACAATTTGTCTAGTCGTGATTCGCCAGTCGTTAAGTGTTGTGTAGTGGACTGACTCACTCATTAGGTTTATGCTCCTCTCTGACTGTCAAAAGACTAGAATCTGTTCCAGTCGATGGAAACAGTCTTTAAGTGCGTTCAGAGTTCAGTCTTAGAGTGTTTCAGCTAGTCGTGTAGTGTGTCCCCAGCTTTAGGGATGTGCCCAAAGTCTAAATCCGAATTCGGAAAGGCACAGAAAAGCAATACAAGGCAATCTACGGAGCCCCTAAAGGGACATTGTTAGGCTTGCTGCGGTAGTCAGTCACATTAAAGTACATAAAATTTCACTAATCACATGAAGATAGTAAGGATAGATGACTGACTGATGTCGAAGGATTTGGTGCGCAACAGATCCTGAGCGTCATTGACAAATATCTTGTAAAATCAGTACCGCCACTCCCTACACACAAAGTGCACATGATCGTGAATTCGTGAAAGTAAAAAGCGAGCGCACATTCAAAAGCGATCTCCCTGATGTCTGCAAATTATATACAATATAATTACCCAATATAATTGTGAGACAACGCAAAAGCATTGCAACTTATTTTTCTTCACGTCACAAATTTTTTCCATCACATGTCCCTTTAGGGCAGGGGTGTCAAACATACGGCCCGCGGGCCGAACACGGCCCACAGAGGTGTCCAATCCGGCCCGCAGGATGATTTAAACAATATTATAAAATAATAAATAAAACATAATTTTGAAAATTAAATAAAGTGTGCTTGCTACAATATTTTACTTTGAATTTAAAGCGGAACAAATGGCTCATTTATTTACATTGATATTACGCCTCGGGATTCGGGACACCTAACATGCGCGTTTTAAAGCGGCGCCAGAATCTAGATCAGCACGAGGATAATATGATGATAGCTGCGTTGTAACTGATGCTTGTGTGGCAATTTTCTGGTGATTTTAAAAAGGTCCAAAAGAAGAAATTTGACCTGGAAGGGCGGACAGGCTATTTAAGCAGAAATGGAAAGAAAGTAATCTCAACGCCGACAGGTATGTTTAATCACAACTCGTGGCTGTGGTAAATGTGTGCAATATTAAACGACACTGTGAC